GATAAGCGAGTACAAAGCATTACAGGCGTTAAAGAACTTCAATGGAGAAAGAGCAAAGTTCAGAGACTGGAACGACAAGTTCTTAAACGCGCTTGCCCAAGGAAAACCGAGTTACCGACCGGCACTGAAAATGTTGAACAAGAAGTTGGAGACACTTGACGGAGTTGTCCCAGAGGAAGATGATGATGATATCATACGCATAATGAACGGTCGGTTAACAGCAAGCGAATACTTAAAGGCAAACCAAGCTAAACAAGCAGAGGATGACAACAAAGGAGATTATGAGTTTACCGAGGGAGACAACATTCAAATGGAGGAAGACTTATGGTACATCCTTAACGAAAAGCTTGAAGGTGCAGAAGCAAGGGGAAAATTAAAGGGACTCATGGATGGTGACGGAATTATGGCTTGGCAAAAGGTTTACAAATGGTACTCGGCTGTTACCGGAGCGACCCTTTCCTCAAAGATGACGCACGCTATGAACCCTGAGCCGCCCAAGGAAATTACCGATACCGTTGCCCGACTTGAGGAGTGGAGCGCGTTAGCGGAGAATCTTGGAAAGTATGGCAAAGATTACTCACTGCCCTTCCCCTTTAAGGTTACCGCGCTCAGGGCACTAATGGTGCACGCGAATGATTGGTTTGACGAGTGGCAGCAGGCGCGTTGGCGAACGCCTGACGCACTTAACATTGATTCGTTCCAAAAGTTATACTCCAAGTGTGAAGATTGGGCGCGTAAAAAGAAACTTGACTCAGACACCAAAAATAAAGATGCGATGGACATTGGAAATATTAGCGAGACGAGTCAAGGGTCCGAAAATGTCTGGGATCAGACAGGATGGGGCGACGAAGATGGAAACTGGTGGCCAGAGGACGGATCTTGGAGTTACGGGTCCTAGGCTAATGAAAGTGAAACTGGAGACCATGAGGAAGTCGACGCCGTAAACAAGGGCAAAGGCAAAGGCTCAGGCCCCAAATGTTACAATTGCGGAGGCATGGGTCATTTCTAGCCAGGTCATTTCACGAAAGGAGGCAAAGGTGGCAAAGGCGGCAAAGGCAAAGGTTACCGTGCCACCTATGGATCTTACATGAAAGGTAAGATTGGAGGTAAACAAGGTGGTAAAGGTGGCGGCTCGCGGGGTGGAAGTTACGGTGGCCAAGGAAGATTTACCCCCCACAGCGAGCGTGAATGTTACAAGTGTGGCGCTAAAGGGCACATTGCCGTTAACTGCCCAGGTCCCAAGAAGACCGCCAACGAAGTTGAGCAAGAGAGACCAACGGTAAACGCGGAAAGTAAACAAACCACCTCGTTTGGCCAACCGCAGCATGTGCTCAGTGTTGAGATGAATGATGAAGCGAACGTGCCACCGGAACCGCCCACGGCTGAGGAGATTAACGGGCAATGGGCACTGCCCTCACATTCCAGAAAGAAAATGGCGCGTAAAATCGCAGTGGGCCTGAGAAAAGCTTACCAGGAGCATCAGTACAACGGGAACTGCAATCATGTAAATCAGTGGGGCCAGAGGATAAGTAAAAGCATAAAGCAGGAAAAGAGTTGGTTTGAGAAATGTGGAGAAATTGGGTTAATCGAAATGCGAGACTGTGACCCAGAAATTAACGCGGTGCCACCTCAGAGTACAACGCACGAAACAATCGTGGTTACCGTGGACTCTGGAGCGTACAAACGGTAGGACCCCCAAGAATAGGCACCTACTTCCCCATTAAACAGACAGATGCGTCAAAGCAGGGAAGACACTACAGCGCGGCAAACGGAACGACGATAAAGAATTACGGGCAGCGAGTAGTAACCGGCAAGAATTAACATGGAAACTCAGTCAGCATGCCAATTCAAGTGGCGGGAGTCAACAAAGTTCTGGGATCTGTCAGAGAGATGGTAAACGCTGGAAACAGAGTTGTATTCGACAAGGACCTTAACGGGAAATCCCTGACTCATATTATGAATAAGGCCACGGGTAAATGTACGACCATCCACGAGAAGAACGGCACGTTCCAGTTTAACATCATGGTGCCGAAGGGACCGGTGGAGGCTGTCAAGCCCAAGAGTGAGGTAAACGCAGCTGAGGGTTTTCCGCGGCCGGGAACCCTCGAGGCGGACCTGTTCTACTAAGCCCCTCATTACCCGTAAGACCAAGCGAAAACTTAAACGTCTTTAACACCGAAGAAGGCGAAGGGACTGAAAGTGGGGGCAGCGAAAGTGAGTTGAGTGACGTAGAAGACGTGTTTGTGAGTGGCGAAGCAGAGTTACCGAAGAAAGTTTACTGTGACATGAGGCCGTCAAAGGAGGAAGTTGAGGCGCACAATGCAACGCATTTGCCTTACCGAAGTTGGTGTCCACATTGCGTTAGGGGCAAGGCGCGCAGGCGCAATCACAGGAGACGTAAAAGGGAAAAGGAACGGAGGTGTACCAGTAATTTCAATGGATTACATGTGGCTTAAAGGAAGAAAGGAAGAAGGCGAAAGTGCGAACAATGGTAACCCAATTCTGGTCATGCATTGCAGGGAAACCAAGTTAACGTGGAGCCGAGTGTTGTTGAAGAAAGGGGTGGATCCATACTCAGTAAAAGTGGGATGTGACATGATCGGCTTTACCGGACATAAGAAGGTTATACTTAAAAGTGATGGAGAAGCGGCAATTACGGCGCTGGCCAACATGATTAGAGCGTCGAGTGAACTTGACATGGGTGTTGAAGTCAGTCCTGTAGGCGATTCAAAGGCCAACGGTGAAATTGAGAGAGCTGTTAGAACGGTGCAAGGACAAGTCAGGACATTAAAGAGCGCCTTGGATGCCAATTACAAGACCGAGTTTAGTGAAAGCCATACGATTATACCATGGATGGTAAGTTATGCGTCTTCTCTGATTAACAAGTTCACGATAGATACAGATGGAAAGACAGCCCATGAAAGATGTAGGGGGAGGAAGTTTAACAAACAAATTCCTGAGTTCGGTGAATGTGTCATGTATTTAAAGACGCCTGCGCACACAGGCCGTGAAAAGCTTGAAATGAGATGGGAAAGTGGAGTGTTTTTGGGAATTAACGAGGAGTCAGGAGCTCATCATTGGAACACCGAACGGAGCGATCAAGGCGCACGAGTTCAAACGAAAGGGAAGTGAAGCGGAAAGATGGAATATGAACGAAATCACCGAGATGAAGGGGATACCTTGGCAGCCTGACCCCAACGCGGCAGGAATGGAGTTACAGTTTAGAATTATGGTCCCCATGGACTTGCCAGAGCAAGAGTTAACGGCGCCTGAGACGAAGCCGCTGATTGCGCGAGGAATAGCCGTAAAGAAGCACGAATATCTGAAAATGGGACCGACGCCGGGATGTTACGGGTGTAAATGCCTAGTTAGAGGCGACAAAGAGCATAAACCACATAATGCTGATTGCAGAGCTCGCGTGATCGAGTGGTTAAAGAGACAAGAAAGCCCAAACATACCAGCAAGGTTAGCCTCGGCCCAACTGAGACTCGAAGGTAAAAGCCGAGCGTCTGAAAGTCAAGATCAGGAATCAGAAAGTCAATCGAAGAGACCGAAACTTAACGCACCACCTCCGCCGAGTGCCAAAGTTGAGGATGTAAAAGATGAGTGGGTGATAAAAGGAAACAAAGTTATCTGTCAACACAGGCGACCAAGAAGAGAGTTAGCCTTTCCCACCAATGGTGGATGCCCTGTCGATTGGGATAAACTTAAACCCAGGAGATTTACCCATGCCATTCTAAACGACAGCGGTGAAATACGTGAGCATGAAGATGCTTGGTACGGCAAAGAGGGAGATGATCAGACATGGGCAATGGGGAACCCCTTTAACGGTTACTGGACCGGGTGGACCGAATTTGAAATTGAAGATGAAGAAATGAAGGACCCACCAAGTGAACCGATTAAACGGAAAGCAGAAGATGACCACGACGAAGAAGATCAGCAGGCAACTCAGCATCGC